GCTATCACAGATTTTATTTTATTTTAATTTTATTTTTGAGAGGGAGTCTCGCTCTGTCGCCCAGGCTACAGCGCAGTAGCGCCATCTCAGCTCACTGCAAGCTCCGCCTCTCAGGTTCACGCCATTCTCCTGCCTCTGCCTCCCCAGTAGCTGGGACTACAGGCGCCCGCCACCACACTCAGCTAATTTTTTGTATTTTCAGTAGGGACAGGTTTCACTGTGTTAGCCAGGATGGTCGATCTCCTGACATCGTGATCAGCCCGCCTTGGCCTCCCAAAGTGCTGGGATTACAGGCATGAGCCACTGCACCTGGCCTACAGAATTTTAATCAGAAATCATTAAAAATTCCATTTATGATTAATTTTTGGTTACAAATTTATGTTCCAGTAAATATATTCTTACAAAATTGTGATTCACTGCTGAGCTTTGAATCTTTTATTCTGTAGTTTATTTCTTACCTTCAACTCTCAAGCCAGATAATTATGCTTATTCATAAAATCTATTATATTTCTATCCTTTTTTTAAAAACAATTATAGCCCATCTGGTTCATGCTTTCTCTTGAATTATTTGCTCTGAGGGAAGACAGCTGCCAAGTCATGAGGATACCAAACTTCTCTGTGGAAAGGACACAGGGCTTTCATGTCACTGATACATTTGTTGTCCATCTTCCTCTAAATTGATTCAAGTCCTTTTCTTTCTCATCTCTACTTAGTAATCTTTAGCATTTGCCATATGCCGGAACACCGACCCTTTGTGCCCATGCCAGATCTCTGCCTCAGTTTACGCTTTTGAGGAGAAATAATTCATGACAATAGATTTGTCTGTAATTAAAAACAAAACTGAAAATTTCCTTTCTAGAGTACCTGCATTATAGGTTTTTTAAAAAGTATAAACCACAGAACATTTAAAATAAGATTTGGTAATAAAAATTGAATTTATAAGATATTCATGGCATGAATTAAAGTATTTATTGGTTAAATATATTTAACCTTATATGTTAAAATATACATGTATAAAACTTAAGTTAAAATCTAAAATATCTATAATTTTTGAGGTCATTCTTTGATTTTTCTAAAAAAACAATTTCCTACCCAATATAGGGAACTACCTCAACACAATAAAGGGTATTTATGAAAAATCCACAGCTAGCATCATACTTAATGGTGAAAAATTGAAATTATTTCCTCTGAAGGTCAAGAACATGACAAGGAATGCCCATTTTTGCCACTTCTATTCCATATGGTACTGAAAGTCCTACCCAGAGAAATTAGGCAAGACAAAAGAAAGGCATCAAATTGGAAAGGAAGAAGTTAAATTGCCCCTGTTTACAGATGAAATGATCTTACATATACAAAACCCTGAAGACCTTATCAAAAAACTGCTAGAATAAACAAATGCAGTAAAATTGCAGGTTACAAAATCAACACACAAAGTATCAGTGGCATTTTTATACACTAACAGCAATCTATTTGAAAAAGAAATCAAGAAAACAATTCCATTTACAATAGCTACTAAAACAATAAAATACCTACGAATAAATTCAACCAAGAAGGGAAAAATCTCCATATTGAAAACTACCAAAATTTGATCAAAGAAATTTAAGAAGGCACAAATAATTGGAAAGATATCTTGTATTCATGAACTGAAGAAATTAATATTGTCAAAATGTTGATACTATTCAAAGTGATCTACAGATTCAATGCAATGCCTATCAAAATTCCAATGACATTTTTCACAGAAATGGAAAAGATGATCCTAAAATTTGTATGAAACCACAAATGACCCCAGTCAGACCAATCTTGAGAAAGAAAAACAAAGTTGGAGGCTTCACACTAGGTCTATTATGGCACAAAAGACCAAATGCCATTTGTTAACATACAGTGAATAAAGGAAAGGTAGAAGAAACACTTGATTTTTCCTTTTATTCATATTTTTTCTTTTAGAATGAGTTGATTCTACAGCATCTTCCAAAGGTGACCAAAGACTTTTTTTCTTTACTTAAAACCATTTTGAAGTCATGAATTTAAAAAATGTTTGATATGTTTCAATTTATTGCATATATTCTTTTTGATATGCAGATAGTCCCCACATGGGCCGGGGGAGCTACCTTAAGTTGGTCCATGGGCCATTTTGATGTGACCCCAGCAATCTTGATACCTTCTCTTTGCTTTTTGTGATGAAAAAGTATTTTCTAGGCTTATCTTGTACTGTCCTGTCCCAAATCTGTAATCAATAATTTTTCCAAAGAGTCCTAGTCTCTTTTAGGAGACCTTTTAGTTTCTTTTTTTTTCTTTTGAGACAGAGTCTTGCTTTGTTACCCAGGCTGGAGTACGGTGGCACAATCTAGGCTCGCTGCGAGCTCCGCCTCCCGGGTTCACGCCATTCTCCTGCCTCAGCCTCCCCAGTAGCTGGGACTACAGGCACCCGCTACCATGCCCGGCCAATTTTTCGTATTTTTAGTAGAGACAGGGTTTCACCATGTTAGCCAGGATGGTCTTGATCTCCTGACCTCATGATCCGCCCACCTTGGCCTCCCAAAGTGCTGGGATTACAGGCGTGAGCCACTCTGCCCAGCCTTTAGTTTCTTTTAAGACCTTTCAAGAATACTGGTCTTGTTTTCACTGTTTACTGAAAAGATTGAACTAGGGAATACACGTTTTTAAAGAGTAAAATACATCTTGAGTTCATAAACTCATATTTTCAATTCCAATTTAGAACTACAAGTTTATTCAATTTCTTTTGAGTTTCTTCTCTTTTATGATGAAAAATTCGCTTCTTAAAGACTTTTATAATAACTCAGCTGCCTCATCCTATAATTATAAGTTTCAGAACACCACCATGAATATTATTTCTAACAATATGACTACTAAAAACAGTTTATGATTTCTTGCATTTCCTTTAATCCTTAGGCTTTATCCCACACAGTCTAATTACTATGTTTAATATCACTTGAAATAATTCATCTATGTAGTTAAGCCATCAACTTCCTATATAATTAAGTTAATTTGTTTAATTTTACTTTTGATTTTTAGGTATTGCTTTTCAAATTTTGATTTAATTTGAAAAATAATTATATAAACATTTATATAGTTCCAAAATTAAGCTTATAAATCTACAAAACAAGGTTCATTCAAAGAAGTCTATCCTTCATTCTGTCCCCCTCTCTCCTCTCAGAGATTACCTTTGAATTATTTTTTAGCTCACCTCTTCATTTTTAAAAACACAAATGTGTATATGTGTGTGCATGAGTGTGTGTGTACATATATTGTTTATATACACATATGTGCACAAACCCACACACAGGCACACACACTCCTCACTCTTAATGAGTAGAATACTATACCTACTGTTACATTACCTTTTTTTAACCTTAATATACTTCAGATATTGCTCCATGTGCTAGGATTCTAACTGGGATTACACTGAATCTATAGGTATATTGGTGGGGGAGAATGAACATAATTATAATATTTAGCATTCTAATTAATAAACATGGTCTCTGCCTTTATTTAGACTTTAATTACTCTTAATATTATATATAGTTTTCAAACAAAAGTCTTACATATCGTTTGTTAGATTTGTTGCTAGGTATCTGATGTTTTTTGATGTAATTATAAATTACTTTTAAAGTTTTATTTTTGAAATGTTTGTTACTGGTATGTAGATTACAAATGGTTTTTCTATATTCACTTAATAGTTTGTCTATCAATTATTTTGGACTTTTTACATATTTAACCATGTTGTCTTCCTTTCCATTTTGTCAACCTTTTATTTCTTTTTCTTGCCTTAGTGCACTGATTAGGACTCCAGTACAAAGATCAATAGAAATGGTAATAGTGAACTTCTCTGACATCTTCTCAGTCTTCAAAAGAATGTTATTGACATTATTTTTTGCCACTGAGAACAATGTTTGCTATAGAATAGATGGCTTTAGAAAATTAAGGAAATTCTATTCCTAGTTTTTTTAAGGAATATTTTTAAAAAAATCAATAAATATCACCCATTATTGCTTATTCATTTTCTGAATTTTTATTTTTTATTTTTATTATTTTGTCTTTATTTCTGTTTCTCTGGATACGCTTTCTCAGTCTCTCTCAGTGGAATAATTTCCCTAAATTTTACATTTTGAAACTCAGTCCTCACAGTTTCCATCTCTCTATCCTCTTTTTCAACATGTTCTCATTCCATGACTTTAAAAATCATGTGTATGTTAGTCATTCATAAGTTTATAGCTCTTATTGTAATCTCTCCCCTGAATATCAACTTACATACATAATTGACTAGTTGTTATCTTGACTTAAATATCTTTTGGACAGCTCATACTTAACAGTCCAAAGCAAACTTCCTGTGATTATCACCAACCCTTTATAACCGAGTTTAAGCCACCACTATTTTATACGCGGACTATCATAGTACTAGTTTCTTTCTTCCTTCTCTTACCCTTGCCTCTTTACAGTCTATTCTTTTTTTTAATAGACTTTATTTTTTATAGTAGTTTTAGGTTTACTATAGTAAATCATACAGTGATACAGATCATACAGTGATCACAATCATCTGTTGAACATTTAAGTCTGATCACATCACTTTGCTCGAACCTCTCTGATCTCATTTCCATGTTGAAGCTCTTGAGCTTCCCATCTCATTCAGCACAAAAATCTCAAGTTTTTTCTGAGGAAGGGTCAGATAACTTTTTCTCAAGGGCCAGAGAACAAATTATTTCAGGTTTTGCAGGCGAAACAGATTTTGTTGCAACTATCTAAACTAATATATCCAACAAAAACTACTACATTTTATGAAACATGCATGAAATTTGTAAAAAATATAATATTTGCTTTGGTTTATGACATAATATTTTTACAGTAGTTTCATAAATATTTACTGAATAAAAAGATAAGGTTCAGAATTATACATTTTTTTAAAAAAGTATGGCAAGGACATTAAATTACAGGTTAAAGAATTTCTTCTGTAAAACATGTCAAACAACTAACAGTAGACTTACTTTAGATTATTGATTCTAATTTCAGCACTTTCAGTAAGTTTCTTCGTTTCTTCTTTCCACCTATTGGCTGCCTTCTGTTGAGTCTCTAGGAGATGCCTCAGTTCAACAATGGAATTTCTATTACTGTCTTCCATCTCTCTCAATTGAACTTCAAACCCACGTTCCTTTACTGAAAATTCATGTTCCATTGTACTGATCTAAAAAACAAAATGAAAACATATTTTCTTTTCTTATAGGTGCTATACTGCTCAATGATATATACAAAAGGAGTCACTCATTGTATTGTCAGAGGGACAGAAATGTTTGGATGAGAAAACTATGTAAGAAATCAAGTTTGGTCAGATGCGGTGGCTCACACCTGTAATCCCAGCACTTTGGGAGGCCAAGGCGGGCAGATCACGAGGTCAGGAGTTTTGAGACCAGCCTGAACAACATAGTGAAACCCCTTCTCTACTAAAAATACAAAAATTAGACAGGTGTGGAGTGTGTGCCTGTAATCCCAGCTACTCAGGAGGCTGAAGCAGGTGAATCGCTTGAACCGGGGAGGTGAGGGTTGCAGTGAGCTGAGATCGCACCACTGCACTCCAGCTTCCTGGGTGACAGAGTGAGACTCTGTCTTAAAAAAAAAAAAAAAAATCAAGTTTACAATTGGTCTTCATCATGAATGAAAACTTACAATGTTATGTCAGTAAAACTAGAATTATGATTAACTATGTTTTTTGCAACACTTTCCCTAACACCTTAACATGACAGTAAAAGAAAAGTCTACTATCTATTACAACGTAACACTTCTCTCTTTATTTACTCTGATTTTTGTTCCCAGAATCCAAGGAAAGTGTTGATGCTGTTGGTATCTGAGTTAGGTATTTACTCAAACCACTTTTGATTTACATACTAAACTTGAAATTCTTTCAAAGGGCTTTGTAAAGTCAAAGATAATTATATACAGGAATTTCTTTACCACTTCAGCTGTAGTATTAGTGAATGATTAATGAACGAATTATTTTTCAGGAGAAAGAGACAATATAAATAATGATTTTGAAAATCTCTTACGAAACTATCTTCAGTACACTTCTAAGAATTTATGTCATTATAGTAAAAGCACTTTAATTGCAGAATGAACTTATAAGTAAATGCTCTTTGGATACCCTAGAAGCTTTCTCTACTGGGGTTCAGGGAGAGAATTAAGCCCTAATGCTTTAAGGCATCCAATGTATATAATGACTTGCCTTCTTTTCATATGTGTCTAGAATATAACTACCTAAGTACCATGTTTGGAGAAATTGAGAAAAAAGTTACTGAAACATTTTTCTACATTTTGTGGTTCAGATGAAAAACACTTGTGGAAAAAGGCAGCAAGGTGATCTGACTTCCTTATTGTACTCTCAGGCCATCTATATTTTGCTATACTAAAGAAGTATTATAAAGAACAACTATCTTGTGATACTTTAATTGCTTTAAAAATGGCCACAGCTGGCTAGACTTCTAGTAATTTATTAAACACGGTTACTCTCAAACTCAAAAAAGAACGAGACTCAACTTTACAGTGTCAAAAAACACAAAACAAGGCCCAACAACAACAAAATTCTTGGCTCACTGAAGCAAACTGCAAACATCCTGTCCTTGCCACCCCTGCTAAATGCAACATGCTTCCTAAAACTCTACAGTTTGCTTTCTCAAATAGTACACATGCAGAAATTTAAGACTTTATAAATCCAGACACTGGAAAAACAATATTGGATGTGTTAGTTTTGGGTTGTATTACTGCTGTGCAAACCTACTGAGGCCCCTTGACCCCTGCTGCTATCTTAATAATGTTTGAATTATTAGATTCTGCAAATTTAGATTGCCTGCCCTTTCTCCTTCCCTGCCTTAATCTTCACCTCCTCTGGAGAAATCATGTTAGTCTAACATCTCAGGTGGAAAACAAAAAGTACAGCCCTTATGAGTGTCTGTCTCTCTCTCTCACGAACACGTGTTAAAAACTGATCTATGGGCCAGGCACGGTGGCTCATGTCTATAATCCCAGCACTTTGGGAAGCTGAGGCAGGCAGATCACTGGAGGTCAGGAGTTCGAAACCAGCCTGGCTAACAGGGTGAATGAAACTCCATTTCTACTAAAAATACAAAAATTAGCCAGGTGAGGTGGCAGGTGCCTGTAATCCTAGCTACTCAGGAGGGTGAGGTAGAAGAATAGCTTGAACCTGGGAGGCGATGGTTGCAGTGAGCCAAGATCGGGCCATCGCACTCTAGACTGGGTGACAGAGCTTCTCAAACAAACAACAACAACAACAAAAACAAAAAACCATATACGCACACAAAACTGATCTATGCATCTGTACAGTTTTATAATTTGGCTGCCTAGTTAACTCCCACTCTCACTTGGAAAATCTGTTTATCATTTCACAAGCTTTGCTTTAAGATCCTTCATGATAACCTGTTCCCTGCTTACTTTTACAAGCTTGTGTTGTGCCACACTATTCCCTTCCCTTTCCTTTATTTCCACTATAATGCCTTTTTATTCTTTGGTTCTTTTCACATGCTGTTTCTTTTGCCTGAAATAATCTCTTTCTGCTTACCTATTTCAACTTTTGGAACTCATTGAGTTTATAATTATATATTTAAAGTTTGCCCACCTACATGCAAATTATAAGCTTTTAAGGATGGGTACCATATCTGTTTAGTTTAGTATTGCATATTTAGCACCTGGAACATAGTACGGTTGTCAAAACATATTTGCAGATTGAATGGCGGCTTTTTGGTGTCAAAATTCAGTCTTTAACAAGCCCCATAGCCTTTAGTAGATACAATTCGAATTGCTAAGTAAATTGGACAGGTCTGTGGTAATGCTGACAGGCTAAGGGCCCCAACAACTATCTCCTATTACAAAAATTCTACTAATGATAAAATTCAGAAAGTTGGATGGGAAAAAGGGTTTTATGGTCTCTCTTCTTTCTTCCTTCTTCCTTCCTTTGCAGAGAAATATCCACACAAGTAGATTACTGAATTGCTGGAAACGACTCTATTTCTTAATTTTAGATGGTTATGAGGGGGGAATTTAGACCATAAAGAAATGGAGAGCCTTGGCAAAAGGAGTAGTTAGAAAAGGTGAAAGCTAGGGCTGAAATCAATGCAGTGGCATTAAGATCAAATGAAAACTTCAGATGATAAATTGTTAAGGTTCGTGGCCTACTGACCTCCCAATTTCTCACTGTCTTTATCTTTTTGGCTTCTTTCAGTTGATCTACTGAAGATCATACTCTTTTGCAATGGGGAGAAAAACAGCAAGGTGTAGGTGCACCAGGTTCCTATTTTGTCAAAGAAAGAATCAGTTACAAAGCAATTTATCTGAGAGCCTTCCTCCTCCCTAAAATAGAATTATAGGTAGTTAGTTAAGAGGTTCGGCTCTTTATCAATGGCTATTCTCTTAAGCTAGACACAGATTTGGTGAGATATGTGGGGTAGATAAACTTTCTATCACTCTTTTGTTCTCCATACCATCAGTTACTATCCTGAAATGTTAAAGAAAGATCGAGTGGTGTCCTAGATAGGAAAAATTCATTGATTCCATCCCCACTCATTATAAAAAAAAGAAAACAAATATATATTGTAAAATTATGGAAAATAACAAAGCATTGAAGTGAAATGTTAAAGACAGATCAAGTGGAGTACTAGATAGGGAAAATTCATTGATTGCATCCCCACCCATGATTAAAAAAAGAAAACAAAACAAATATATATTATAAAACTATGGAAGATATAAAGCATTAAAAAGACAAATATAAGGTGCCTCTATTCCCAAAACTCAGACAATCACTTCTAAATTTTACATAATTGTTTTTATATATGAATTCTAAAATTGTTATTACAGTATGTAAAGGATTACTACCTGTATATGTGTGTGTGTGTGTATATATATATATATTTTAATCATAGGGTGTATCAATATAAATGCATGATAAATTATTTGGAAATATAGTTTTTAATGACAATACAGTACCTTATTAAAAACATATACACTATATATCAAAAATATATATGTGTACATACACAGGTAGTAATCCTTTATACACTAAAGTAACAATTTTAAAATTCATAAATAAAAGCAATTATGTAGAAGTTAGAAGTATTATCTGAGTTTTGGGAGTAGAGGGACTTTATATTTGTCTTTTTAATGTTCTGTATTTTCCATATTTTACTATCTATAGATGTAACATAATTATTCACTTCTAGATATTTAGGTTGTTTCTAATTTAGTATAAATAATGCTGCAATGAACTTGTGAAATATTTTAATTATTTTCTTATGACTGAATTTTAGACTCTAAAGTAAATATGTACCATTTAATACTTTTAGCTGTATGTTCACTCAGAGATACTTAGCAATTAATGAATGGTGAGTTTAAACTGCTTATTGCCTACTGGTTTTTTTTCTTGGTTTGTAGATTCTGTTAATCTCTCACATGATTTTTTATTCGGTTACAAATATTTTTATCTTGTATTTTTAAAAGCTCCTGAGGTATGGTCTTAGAGCTTTCTGTCACATTTGTTAAAACTATCTACCTCCCAGTGATTTCTTTTTGGAACATTTAAAAATGGTTTTAAATATTTAACAACATATTTAAATTTATCAATATTTTCATTTGCAATTTCTTCCCTTTTTTTGCTTAGAAAGTTCTCTTTCAGTTAAATATTCATCTACATTTCCTGCTAATGTTTTATGGAATCATTAACATATTAACATAATGCATATGAAATTTATCATATACAGTTTATAATGAGATGAAGATACATTCTTTTCACCAAAGTGCACTTTTTAAAAATCATAGAAATGTTTTAGTATGAAAACTTTTGAGCATACACAAAATAGAATGTTACACTTCCTGTATGCCCATCACCAGCTTCCATAATTGTCCAACTATCAAACTCATAGGCACTCTGGTTTCATGTATACTCTTGCTATTCTTACCTACTTTCCTCTGCGAAGATTTATCTGTTTCTTTCTTCTAATGAACTGTGTACATCTTAAAAGATCAGCTCAGTTTTTACACATATACTGACATACCGAAGTCATCAAATAGATTTAGATACCCCAGGAGGTTCCCTCATGTGTCCTTCTAATCAGTACTCATCCATTTAAAAGGTAGCTATTCTGATAGTATCCTCATAGATAATTATGCTTATTCTTCACTACCATATAGTGAAATAAAATATAAGCTTTTGTATGTTTGGCTTCTTTGCTCAACTCCATGTCTATGAGACTCATCCACTATTGCTTATATAGTTCATTATTTTTCATTGTTGCTTCTATTCCATTAGATGAATATATCACAATTTACTCATACAATTTCATGTTAATGAAATCATTGTTTTTAGCCTCTACGAATATTCTTGTCCACATGTTTTGATGAACGTAAGCACTCTGTTGGGTATGTAGCCAGGATTATTTGGCATAAGATGTATATTAGTCCATTTTCATACTGCTATGAAGAAATACCTGAGACTGGGTAATTTATAAAGAAAAAGAGGCTTACTGGACTCACAGTTCTCACAATCGTGGCAGAAGGTGAAGGAGGAGCAAAGGGATGTCTTATATGGCAGCAGGCAAGAAGGCATTTGCAGGGGAACTGCTCTTTATAAAAGAACTGGGCACATTGGCTCTTGCCTGTAATCCCAGCACTTTGGGAGGCTGAAGCAGGTGGATAACCTGAGATCAGGAGTTTGAGACCAGCCTGGCCAACATGGTGAAACCCCAACTCTACTAAAAATACAAAATTAGCCAGTTATGGTAGCACACAGCTATAGTCCTAGCTACTTGGGAGGCTGAGACAGGAGTCACTTGAACCTGGGAGGTGGATGCTGCAGTGAGCTGAGATCACGCCACTGCACTGTAGCCTGGGAAAGACAGAGCAAGACTCCATCTGAAAACAAACAAACAAAAACAAAACAAAACAAAAAAAACACCAACAAAAACCCATCAGATCTTGCGAGACTTATTCACTATCATGATAAAAGCATGGGAAAACCTGCCCCCATGATTCTGGGTCCCCCCATGACACGTGGGGATTATGGAACTACAAGATGAGATTTGGATAGGAAGACAGTCAAACCATATCAGGATGTATGTATGTCCGGCTTTAAAAGATACTGCTACATTCCCAGCAGTATCTATCAAGGTTCTAGTTGCTTTATATTCTTACAAATATTTGATATTTTTAGTCTTTTTAATTTTAGCCATTCTGGTGGTGGTGGTGTATACTGTTATCTTATAGTTTTAATTTAAATTCCCCTAAAAAATAGTGAAGTTGAACATATTTGCCTATATGCTATTTTATGAAGTGCCTACTTATGTCTTTTGCCCTTTTCTGGAAATGGAATATCTATTTTTTCCTTATTAACTATTAGCTGTTTTTTCCATATTAATATTTTTCTTATTAATTGGTAAGAGTTTTTATATTTTGGATATGAGCTCTCTTTTTGGTTATATGCACTACAAATACTTTCTCGTACTTTCCCCTTTCTTAATGGTGTCTTTTGGTGACTAAAAATATCTTAATTTTAGTGAAATCCAATTCAGCTTGGATTTTTCACTATGATTAGTGTTCTTTGAGCTCTGTTTAAGAAATATTTTCCAACCCAAAGGCATGAAGATTTTCTCCTAGAAACTATCATTTCACATTTTACATTTAGGTCTACAAGGCAGCTCCAACTAATTTGCATATATGCTGTGATATAGGAGTTAAGTTTTATTTTTAAAATGTGGATCTGACTGATCTAGCACCATTTGTGAAGCCAGTTTCCCCCTCACTGAACTGCAATGGTGCCTTTGTTATAAATCAAGTGATTATGATAAATGAGTTTGTTTCTAGACTCAATTTTTTGCCATTGATCAAGTTGATTATTCTTATATTGATAACACATTGTCTAAATTATTTTAGCTTTTTATCAAGTCTTGATATCTGGTGGTATGGTTCCTCTCCCTGTTCTTCAAAGAACTCCCACAGTCTAAAGCTCAAAGTAAAAACTTTTCTGTAAATAAGACTCTTTTTCATTTCAGAGTTCAAGGTTTTACAAATAACTAGGGTATTTCATACCTGCAATAGGAGGCATTCAAAAAATATATATTGACATGAATTAGGTTGGAATATGACTTCTTAGGAGTTCTTCCAGCAATAAAAACCAAAATAAAACAATGACATGACCTCTTCATATTCTTACTATGAAATTGGAAGATGTAGATATTTATCATAAAAAGTCAGTGCCACTTTTTATAAAAGTCTCATGACATGGGGAAAGGTAAGCAAGATATTGATGAAGATATTTGTGTTTCTTGAAAGTCCCTTAAAAGGAGGATCATCTTCCTATTACTAAACCATATAAGCATCAAAGGACAAGGAAATAAGAGAGAAAAGAAAGGGAATTTGTTTTAGATGACATTTTTGCCTCTTGCCTTCTTCCTGCCACAGAATTTTCAGACTAGCTGTGAATGGTTCTCAGAGCCTGCTGCTGTAACATCCCCTATACAGTTAGTTTTAGAGAAGTTCAACTTTTCAAAGGCTACTATATGGAGAGAAGAGAGGAAGGCAGTCTGTAAAGTTACCTAATCTATGGTTTTGCTAGTGGTGCTTAAATTGCTTTGGCAGGAATAACAGTATATTTCATGGTTAGAAAATACTTTTTTTGTGTGTAGCAAAGGCAATCATTTTCAAGTATGCCTGCCAAGTTCTACAACACAGAAATGATTGGTTAACACTCTGAATTATGACTTAGTGCTATTTGATGAGAAGGCACACACACACACAAAAGGGGGGGCCTTAAAGATATTTTGCTAGGTATCTCTAAATATTCTCCACACTTTGATTTTCATAAGTACACATTTAACTCTAGTCTTGAAAATACCTTTAATTTGGCTTTTTTTTGAGCCTCCAGGGCAATCTTCCTTAAACTCTCAGTCTCCTTCCGTAACTGTTTATTTTCTTGCTGAAGTTTTAGCCTTTGTTCACTGACAAGCCCACAGTTCTCTCTCTCAGACTCCAACACATTTTGAATTTTCTGAATCATTTCTTGGTAACGTGATATTTCTTCTGAGGAGCTGATTAAAAAACGAAACGAAAAGAATCCTTAAACTTAATAATCTATAGTAGAAGACAAAAGTCTGTCTACATTTTATCACATGGACTTTTGTTTGCTTTATTCTGAGCCATTTCTTTCCACTTGAGACTGAAACTATGTGGTTTCAAAATGTTATGTTATACCAGGCAAATACATTCAACTTAAATATATTCAAATCTTAACTAAGAACAGATGAACTGAACTGTTATCACTTATCTAGAAAATCAATGTGAGACTTCTTTCAAATTTGTACTAACATTAAGAATCACTGTGTATGGAGAACTTCAAGGGAATGAACCGAAGGAACAAAAAAAGGATGAAGCAGATAATAACCAACATTCCTTTACTTAATCAATAAACTCTATAGACTAACACAATAGCTGACTATATTACTAAATTATAAAATCTACTTTTATATTTTCCCATTATATGTCTTAGAAAGTTTTCATAAACTTCTAGTTCTGTAAACTTCTCGTTTTATCATAGGTTAAATGGATTACATTTCCTGAACTTTCTCAACAATGGATCACTGATCACCGGGTGAGACAACCTCTATACATTAATGTTGCTTCAATCAATATACTGCTAATTTTTATTCCTATCTTTTAAAACTTCCATCTTTTCAATAACAGATAAGCCCTGTGAACATTTCCGGGTTAATAGGTTTCACAGGGAATTGTATAGAAATGCTACTAATATTGTGAAAGCTTAAGAAAACTACTAGTTAAAAGTATTTTGCAAGCAGAAAAATTCTTAAAATAAAGAAGCAACTTTCACATGGTGGCAGTTTTATCACCATGAACCACTCCTTTATGGTCCTATTTTGTCATTCTGACCTGCCCATATCTGCCAGTGCTTTGGGTGAAAACAGTGATTGATTTTCTTTGATCTCTACCTCTGTCTTTCTAGATCTTTGCTTCCCCAGCAACTCTCACATTCTTGCAAATTCTGTTTCCTACATTAAATCCTTTATTCCCACAATACTCATAGTCTTTTTTCTGTCTAAACCTTGGTTGATAAAGTTCCTAATAAAGTGACATATCTAGGCAATGATAATAAAAGGATGCTAACACCAGAAAGAGGCTGAGACCAGAAACAACCATACATTGTGAGCCTCCTAATAGAAGTCCACAATGTCATCATCTATGAAGAATCCTTCCAAAAACAACAACAAAAAAAGAAAGCTAGACCAGATCAAGCCTCTGGGTCTAATTACTAGTTTTTAGGAACTACATGAGACAGAGTAAACAGCATCAATATATATGTAGTGGAGCATGTAGTGGAGGAAACTCTACATTACTAAGAACTAGTTTTTAAAACAAATTATTTGCAACAACAACAAAAAAATACAGAAAAGGGGATTCCCAGAGATTAAAGGAGATGCAAGACTACAGCACTCCAAGCATTCCTGAAATTAGAAATGGACAGGAGCACTCACACTCAAGAGAAACCCTTTAAATGAAGTGACTGAGAAAAATTCATCAAATACCTCTTAAAGCACATATGAAAACTTAGGAGAAAAACTCTCTGGATGTGGAGAATGTGGGAAAGCCTTCATTAATTCCTCATGTCTTGATGAACGTGTAAGAATTCATACTGAGGAGAACTCTGCTTATAAAAAGAATGCATGGGAGCCTTTAGTCATTTCTCATTTTCTTAATGAAGGAAAAGGACTCACATTGGAAAGAAGCCCTGTAAATCTAAAGAAGATGGGCTAATCCTTATCCTTCACTCAACTTTCACAATTTATCCTGGAGAGAAGCTTTTTGAAAGTAAGGAACATGGGAGGGTCTTTTACCCAGTCCTTGCACCTTATTCTATGTTTACACCCTTTAGGAAATATGTGAGAGTTCACCTTGGAGAGTAACTTTATGAATATAAGGAACATAAAGAAGACATTGATATCTCCTTTTACTACACACACACAAAATACTCATAATGCAGAGAGACCATGTGAATTAAAACAAATGCAGGAATCCTTTCATTCAATACTCCTCCTTTAAGAGACATATGGGTATACACATTGGAGAGAAGCCCTGTGAATGTATGGTATTGGGAAAAGCCTTCATGTGTGATACTTCTCTTAGTACATACAAGAAGATTTATGCTGGAATAAACCAGTTTCTCCTGCAGGTTTGATCTGGAAGTAACCATATGAGCAGATTATCTGAATAGGTTATTGAAAATTACACATATATTTATTAAACAAATTTGTAGGATCTCTTTTTGGAAAAAACTTTATTAAGTAACTTAGGTATTAGTATTTATTTAAAAAATATATTTTGAACACATACAGAGATAAGACAGAGATAAGAGATTTCAGGCAATTCAAATAAGAAAATTTTGCTATATTAGGTAATACCATCGGGGTGGGGAGGTAGAAAAATACTCAGAATGGATATGTCAAATTATGACTTTATCACTTTTATAGACAATAAAATATACAAGATGGATCATCATAGAATATTCACTATAACAAGAAACATACTAAATATAGGTAATATAAAAGAATATAAGCAAGATATTATAATAGCTTCACAATTAGTACAAAGACAACAATATTATAAACATCCTATTTAATTGCCAGAAAGGATACATTTAAAAGAAAATGGTATGCTACTGTTAAACCTTTTCTTCCTGCAGAAATTCATTTTCAGAAATAATCTTGAATAAAATTATATTTGGTCCTAAATTTTTTTTTCAACATAAGATATATTGTAAGTCCTACCAAAAAAAAAAAAAAAAAGAAAGGTAGAGAATCTGTCAAAAATCATGTTAATTCTGAAGATGTTATCACAGAAAATCCAAAAGAAAAACTTACTCGATTTCAAGTTGTTTTATTCTATTTTCTGCTCTCGTCAGTCTTATCTGAAGATCATCTTTTGAACGCTCTGAAACCAGGAATCTTTGGTGCATTTCTTCCAGTTTTCTGTAATCACTTTCATTTCCTCTGCCTTCACGGTAAATCTGCAGAAGAGGCTTATTATGTATATAATATTACAGAAGAAACTGTCTTAATAAACAGTTTAGAAACAGAAATCAATGGAAGAAATAAAAAGCCATGATCATGTATTCATTTGTTCCGACCGTAACATATGAAACATATCAATAATTAAATCTGGTTCTCTCACATTTACAAAATAAAATGCTAAAAACTGATATATAAAATAATAATTGTTTTGAGACTAGCCTGGGCAACATAGCAAGACCCCGTTATCTAAAAAAAATTAAAAAATTAGCCAGGCATGGTGGCTCACACCTGTAGTCCCAGCTATTAGGGAGGCTCAGGTAGGAGGATCCTTGAGTCCAGGAGATCAAGGCTGCAGTGAGCCATGATCATGTCCACTGTACTCCAGTCTGGGCAACAGAGCAAGACCTTGTCTCTTAAAAAATAGAGTTTATTTTTTTGGAATTATTCATGCTCATGGTAAACTATGCAATAATACAAAAATGTAAAGCAGCTGAAGCAAAAATCAATGGCAACTTAGAGATAACCACTGGTGATTCTTTGATGAATACTGTTCAATACAATCCTCTATTCCAATATTCAAAAATAAAGATACATACCATGGTGCAATAACTAGAACTCTCTGAAAGTGACTCTAGAATCTCAGTCTGGGTTACCTGGACAATGATCTAGCTTGGATGGGGCTTCCCTTTCTTCAGCAGTGGTGGTTGTACCCAAGCTCAGCTTTCCATGCAATGGGGCTCCCTCTTACAGCACAGGGTCTGTAACATCCTAAGGGATCCAAGGTCTTCAGGTGCTAAGCAGTTCACATGTTGAGGCAAATCCTGCACACAGCTACCCTCGAAATCTAGACTGCCTGACCAAGTAACCTGTGTCTTCCCCACTGACAGGACTGCTTTGTCACTCTCCATAAAAACATGGAGTATCAGCAAGTCAACATTCCGCTACTGGAATACAGAACTATGCTGCAGACCCAGCAGTTCTTTGACCTTAGCACACTGGTCTGTGGAACAGTGGGAGAATAAGGTGCTGTGCTTTCCCTTTACCTGCTGTCTTTTGCCTTGTAAGTTTTACATTTCCCCAAAAGCCTTTTCCTTAACCTTTGCCATGTGATGTTGAAACATTCATCCCAAATCCTGATGTATAACAGGTGGCAATCTAAATGGGAACTGATATGCAGATGGAAACTCAGAAGGGACCTACCTTGCAGGAGAGTGGTAATTGTAAGTCCTACTTTGAACACATGTATTTTTTTTTTCACAAATGGAACTGTACATTATGTTTTGCTTTGTGTATTACTCCTTTACTGATGTCATAATTTTTTTCATGTTGATAATAGATATAGACCATAATTTTTATGCTACATAGCTCTTCTTTGAAAATCAAACTGACTCTACCGTTTACCACTTTTTAACATTGGGTAAGTTACTTAACCTCTCTATGAAAGTTCTTAATGCAGCACCTAAAATACAGTAAGTGCTCAATCAAATTTGGTCTCCCTTTCTTTCTCCAAGGTACTTTAAAAGAGTAGGATATTACTGCTAATACAAAAGTATATGAAATAAATGAATTTTAAACTATGGACTTCTCCCAATAGTTTTTCTGAAATATCACGGGGGTAAATATTCTTCCTAAGTGTGAAGTTAAAATCTGTACTTCTAAAAGGTAAAAATCATAGCAATGCTATAATTTTCTGGTTATATATACTTGTTTTATTTATAGATGGCCTAAGCACCATAAGAGCTAATATAAAATTCAAAAAGAAAGTAAAGACAAAGTGAAATTTCATAGGATGAGGTTTAAGCAAGAAATACAGCTACTTCAAAAAATTTGTAACTTTAAGTACAAAGTTCAAAGAATACAGCCGCTCTTGGAAAAGTATTGTATCCAGGCAACATCAATATTTAACTGCAGACTCTAAATATATTTAAGGAAAGTGGGAGGCTGAAGCGGGCGGATCATGAGGTCAGGAGATAGAGACCACCCTGGCTAACACGGTGAAATCCCATCTCTACTAAAAATACAAAAAAAATAGCCAGGCGTGATGGCAGGCGCCTATAGTCCCAGCTACTCGGGAGGCTGAGGCAGGAGAATTGCTCGAACCTGGGAAGTGGAGGCTGCAGTGAGACGAGATCGTGCCACTGCACTCCAGCCTGGGTGACAGAGTGAGACTCCATGGCAAAAAAAAAAAAAAAAAAAGGAAAAAGAAAAGAAAAGAAAAACTTACCAGGACAATACTAACAAATAAAGGAATTGCTAGTAGATAGCATGATGGAAACAGACAGTAATGTTGCCTATTTGCAGTTGGGTTTTAGGTAGTTATATTTCCTTTTTCTTTTTACCTTTTCTAGTTCTTCTTCCACTGCTTTTTTTTCCTTAATGACTCTTTCAATTTGGCCTTGTTTTTCAGCACACTCCTATAAATTCAAGTCATATTGTAAATATATACATTTGGTAACATCTTAAGAAAAGTGGGGAAAAATGGAGAAGTAAAATAATTTGTTCATAATGGGAATATCATAGTTATCAACACAAGTTTAAGGTTACATTGATTAAAGACAAAACTCAATGTTTGAAGAGCAACCTAACCCAGGATTTCAGAAATTGCCTCCAGCAGTAGGATGCCAAGGAGTTCTAACTAAACAGATTAGGTGGGAGACAGAGGTTGGGGGATTCCAGGGAGAAAAAAATATGAATGGAACTCCTTTCTCATACTATAGATTTTCTTTTTACATACTCTTATCAAGTATTTTGAAAAGGGAAGTAAGAACCAGATAGTGGCACAAAACCCTCAGGGATAACCCATGGCCTAAAAGATACGTGGGTGTAAAAACTCTAAAAAAGTTAACTTTTTTCTTTACAAAAATTATAGCAAACAGAAATACTAAAAATATTTTATTAGCATGAACATAAAGTATTTCTCCTCAAAAGATTTTACTCAGTATTTAGCAAGCATATCAATTAGATAATAAAATCTAATTTTGCTAATGCACCTAAAACAAAAAAGTCATAATAATTATTAGTTCTTCACAATTATTTGTATTTATACATTTATTTTGGAGAATGGGTAATGGGTATGGCTTTTTTTCTCTCTCTCTCTTTTTTTTTTCTAATTGTGAATCATACTTTGGAGGAACCCGCTTTGCTAACAGTGCATTACTTACTAATGATGTTCTATTATTTTATAGAAGAAGTGTATTTCAATATGTTTTTAAATTTTACAGTAAGCTTCTTTTGTGACCCAAAATTAATCACCATTGATTATAATGAAGATCTTTAACCCTATGTTACAAATCAGTTGACAAATTTAAATTTAATGTCTTTTATTAAGATAGAACCCTGAGTGTATACAAAATGCAACATTAATATTCCATATATTCATATAGGAAGTTGCTTATCCAGCAAAGGGTAGCTTCAGTGCTAAATTTGGGATTTTACCTACATTTGTAACTCCTCCCATGTGATTTTTAATATATGTTAATAACAAAGTCTGGCTCACACTTCTCGGGCTGGTAAGTGGTATATAAAGTAATGCATGTGTAAGTAGGCTTCATATCCCTCTCCACCCAATCCACCATTTTACTGACAAATGATGATGGCCTAAAGAATATTTGGTTAACTTGGGGATAAAAAAAGTAAAATGAGACAGCAAAGTTTAAACCTTTAGAGAGAATTACCATACTAATTCTATTATAAATGCACTATAATACTAAAGCAAACATCAAAAATTACCATTACAAAGTTTTTAGAGATATTTGCTTATCACCACTGACATGCCTACCTTTGGGGGAAAATATGACAAAATAATAGGTATTTTTTCAGGTACTCATGGAGTATTTCCAAAATAATACTCTATAAAAGAAGTCTCAAAACATACTAAGAACCAATCATATACACCATGATCTGTGCTGCCGACCTAACCAAATGAGAAATCAACAGTAACAGGTAGTGTAAATCCTCATGTATTTATAAACTAAAAAAAAAAAAAGACTTCCAAAAAATTCATTTATCAAAGAAAAGATCATAATGAACATTTTATTTTACTTCTGTAAGTTTGAACATTTTATAATTAATTTTCTTATTTGATATAGATTAATAGCAATCTGCTACATGGCACAATAAAACCTTGAATATTCTTAAGATAAACTACACCTTACCAGAGAAAACAAAAGCTGTTAGGTACACGTTGGTCTTCAAAGGGAGATATGTAGCTTGAAATACAATGGTTCTGGCTTTTTCTTAATCTATTAAATAATCTGCACACTCATCTAAAATACAAGTTTTTCTCCTTCCTGTGAGCATACCTTAATTTTGGGTTAGCAAAAGTATGCTTAACTACCTTCCTGGACTTCATAGTGTAAATAATAGTATGGATGGATAGTATATTAATACTAATACTATTAGTATAGATAGTAAAATTGTTAATAATAGAAAACAATAGCAAGCATCAGGTTATTATGCTTCAAACTGCAGCTTAGATTTTTTGAGAAAATCTGTCTTGAAGTAGCCAAATGTTTTCCTTTGAACATATTTTTAACATATTTAATACTTCAAACTTTTCAATTACACAGTATAGTTCTCCCCATAGAATCAACATGACTACCAGATGTTTTAGAAAAATCACTTAGCTATGAAGTAGAATTGTTTTACCATAAGAAACACTTTTTGCAATAAACTGAAATTGTCATTCTTTTTACTCTAAAGTGAGTTTAATATAGCTCTGGTTGTTACATAGCTAATAATGATTTGAAAAATCCCTGGAAGTCTTAGCCAGTCCTTGTTCCCTTGAGAATACAGAAAGAATGAATATTCATGCCCTTGAAGAGTCTACCATCCATTAAATGATCTTGGACCGGGGTAGTATCCTTCTACTCCTCTTTTTCCACAAAGATACTAATCTCTTGATAGCTAATCAGCCCATGAAAGAGAACAAGCGAAATAACTGAGTGATAGAAAAGGAAGCAAAACTGTACAACAAAAAACTACACATGACTAACTGGCCGCATTGCATCCCACTAGTTTTACTTGATGTTCCTACATTATTAAAATAAGTGACATTAAACAAATACAAAATAAATGTTCCTTGTTCTATTACATTTGGGACCCAATACACGATGATTAAGATCCCATCATGTGCTCTCCAAAGTTTGTAGAATGGCAAAAGAAAATGTGGTTCCTCTGTCAGAGTGTTTAAATATATCATTCAGTTGATAAACATTTAAAAATAAACTCTGCAAAACACTGTACTAGGCAAGCAATAGGGAAAATAAAGGAAGGTGTAAGACTCTACTATGTTGAGATGCTACAATCTAATTGCAGATATAAGATTTTCATGGAGAGAGACAGTGTATGATCAACATACACCTAATGCACGACATTTATTACAAGATATGATTCATTGATAAATTTTGTAATAGAGATAAAAAGTGATACAGGGAGTCAGAAAAGATGAGAGTATGTGAAGTTATAAACATTTTCTCAATTCTTGAAAATTGTTGTACTTTTATTCTCCTGTAAGCAAGGTTATTAAATTTCTTTACATCAAACTTCAAGTTAAACTTCTATTTCCAATCCCATCTCTAGCCACACAAGTAATCTTTTCCTCTCCCCTCTTGGCCTACTCATTCCTCAGTCCTCATTTCTTTCAGGAAGCTTTCTGTCTTTCTTCCTTACCACTGTTAAATATACTTTCTCTTTCTCCTTGGTTTCCCAGAAAAACTCAGCATATGATAGGAGCTACAGCTAGCAATAGCACCCTGTGCATTCTCTGTCAAAGACAGGTAGTTACAGTAAAATGTGATAAATGCCATCTATCTTTCCTGCTAGAACATAAGCCACAAGACTGCTGCAAACATGTCTATCTGGATTTTCGCTTTTTTCCTAGCACCTAGTCAGGGCTTGGTTCAATAAGCATCTTTTGAATGAATGAATCCCCAATAGTATATATCTTGGCCTTTAAAGTAAGCAATATTTGGAAGAAAATATCAGTATAGTCAAACATACCATTTGAAGGGCTGAAAGTTCTTCTGTTAATCGAGAAATTTGTATATTGCATTGTTTTTTTGTGTTTGCAACCTGTAAATTAAGACATTTACTCATTATTTGGGTCTAGAATAAAAATGATTAATATCTGATAAAAACACATACAATAATAATTTTGATAAAAACAAAATTGTAACTTTTAGGGCATAAAAGACAAATAAGCACACAATATATTAAAGACCGAAGAATTTGCCATGAAAGTGGAAGAAGAGTGAATAGAATGGTATATCCAAGATGACTGTGGTTGTCAGACATCTTCATCATAGGATGCTTTTGATTCATAAACAGAAGAATTTTTTTAATAATACCCATCACACCCCAGTATTAAATTACTTTTACTTCTGAAGATAAATTAAGATTTAATAATATTTAATAAATAACATTTAATAAAATTTAATTAACATTTAAATATCTTCAGAAAGAACACTATTAATGTGCACAGAGTATTTTGAAAAATTAGTCACATCTCATCAGGATTTCTCTATGACAATAAATTTTTCTAATAACTATTCATGCTTTTTAAAAGGACTCTGAAGAATACTGATGCCAATGGTAAATCATCAGTAAACTTTTATGATCTAAAGGTCTTTGAGAATTTTCTAGTATCTTGTAAGATGGACTATTTTGAAAATATGATGTAAACCTTGTTTAGAACATTTACAATACTGCCATGTACTTTATACGGTTAATTAATATGAGTTATCTTTCTGAAGGCCTGCCAAGCATACTATTTCTGGGTCTATTTTAGCTCTTTTTTTTTTTTAAGAGGGAGTCCCGCTCTGTGGCCCAGGCTGGAGTGCAGTGGCGCGAGCTCGGCTCACTGCAAGCTCCGCCTCCCAGGTTCACCCCATTCTCCTGCCTCAGCCTCCAGCCGGGACCACCGGCGCCCGCCACCAGGCCCAGCTAATTTTTTGTATTTTTAGTGGAGACGAGGTTTCACCGTGTTAGCCAGGATGGTCTCGATCTACTGACCCTGTGATCTGCCTGCCTCAGCCTCCCAAAGTGCTGGGATTACAGGCGTGAGTCACCGCGCCCGGCCTATTTTAGCTCTTTTCAAGGTTATAATTTGATGTAGACTTTTCCTATGAATAATTATATTAAAAATCAATGTATTCTGTTTATGGATCAGTAACAATAACAGAATTTATGGAGGATTAATGTGTGTTAGGTACTATTCAGAGTGCTTTACATGTATTATCTCATTAATTCTCACAAAAATCCAATGAGGTTGTTATTATTTCCATTATAGATGAGGAAAACTGAGGCAGAGAAATTAAGTCATAAATGTTCCTATAATATAAAAATTTTGGTTCTTACAAGCCCTGTCATATCTATCTCTCTCTCGCATAATTTCTAAAATGTGTTCTTTTTAGTATCTAGAAATGATACAGCTAACTTGAGGGCTTATGACAACAGGAGGGTACATATTTTGAAATACATTTATAGTAATCCTGGCAAATACAGATGAATCAAACTATTCATGCCTTTTGAAAGGACTGTGTAGAACTATTGACACTGATGGCATATCATATGTAAACTTCTGTGCTCCAAAAGTCATATGGAATTTTCTAGAGTTAGTATCTAATGAAACAAAATGTAAACTTTCGTTATGTGAGGAAATACACATTTCAGTGAGGTAGTTTACTGTGATTGGGGTTTTGAAGTCTGTAGAGGGACTAATACACTTCTCTCATCCTATCCTCACTTTATATAAGCATTTCCCTCTATAATTTTATGAACAATAAGGATATTTATAAACCAAATAGTAAGATAAACTATTAAGAAATAGGAAAATCCAATAATGGCACTAGCTTTGACTTAAAATCAAAAGTAAACAATGTATTTTGTTTTTTACAAATTTTATTTATTTGAGAGATATCTAAGAAATAAAATATTTTCATATTTTAAAGAAATAAGCCACTGTCATATTTTTGTTCAATTTTATAGCCAGAACAGAAATATGTGACAATTTATTCATTGTATTTACTTCAGTCAATAGGAAGAGATACATATAAAGTTATTCTCAATTCAACAGGTTAATTCTACATATTTGAAGGACACGCTGTGAATAATTTGGGATTAAATGAAATTCACAGAACAATGCTAAAAATAGTGGCTATCTCTGGGTATTAAACTTGTAATTTTAATTTTCATTTATACATATTTTCTCATACATATTTTCCATTTCTTTTTACAATGAATATATGTCACTTTTAATAATAATTTTAAAAGTTTACTTAAAAAAATTAACTTGGCAAGAGTGTGGAACTCAGAGGGGGCAAAGACCCAGCAAAATGCATGGCACACAGGAAGTGCTCAATAAATACTTCCTGAGTGAACAGTTGTAATGGCGGGGAAAGGCTGGCTACAGGAAATCAACAGGAACACCTAAGGAAGAAACAATCTGGGACTGACTACAAGAGTAAGTTCAGTTTCAGACATGTTGAGCTTCAGATGCCTGGAAGGATTACATATTTGAATAGGGAAATAATTGGATTTTAGGAAGCATCTGTATTTTCCATTTGCAAAACATTTGGAATGAATGAGATCACAATGCTTGTGAAAAATCCTACTTAGATTATTTAAAGTTTCATGCAAAAGATGAGCTTCATCAACCCCAAAATCAATGTGAATTTATTTTAGGATAAGAAAATACAATTAGAGGAATGCTCATACCATGAATACTTTAATAAAATATTTTTATCATTAAAAGTATAAAGTTTATTAATATTCATTTTAAAAATATGTCGTCAAGAATATTTTAGGCTATAGTCCAATGTTACAGTACTCTCAACTTCACGAACAGGAAGGACAGAGCTCCTGCAGAAAGGATATAGAAGATTAGAAATTAAAAAGCACACGGTTTACTTTGGACTCTGCCTTAAATTAAAAATTTTATCTTGGGAAATTATCTAATTTCGGTCATATAAAGATAAAGTAATAGATTTTTTTTTCTTTACACCATGATTCTGTAAAAGTAACAGATTTCTAAGAAATACTTCTGCAGGAAGAAATATTATACAGTGGCTTTGTGGAAATAAAAATTCTACCACCTAGTTGCTTGGGAGAAAGCAACCATTTTAACTTTATTTTTTCTAAACTGATGAAGTTTTAAAATCCAGTTTAAAGCTACAGTTCACCTAGAAGAGAAATAATATTGCCCACAAAAAATACAGATAAGGAAAAAAAAGGAACATCTTTATTTTATCAAGTGGAGGGCTATTCAGTATATCCCACTATCCTACTGGAGATAAATTTAAAGGAAAGGAGCCTTTACTCAGTTCCTTTAGTTAGTTTTTAAACACTTATGTTAATAATTTCAAAACAGTCTTTATAACTATGTAGGCAAGTATTTTAATTTTAATTTACAAATATTTAGGTAGAATTTAGTCTTTAGTTGTGACTTAAATTCTGAATTTTAAATATAATTAAAAATCCTTACTTCCTTCTTGGTTCTTATGGTAGCATCTTGTACAAACCGAGAAACTGTCTCTTTCATTTTCTCTATGTCTTCTTCTTTTTGCTTCTCCTCAAGTAGAGCCTTCAGAAAACAATCATTTCATGTTATAGATCACATCATTATTAGCAAAGATAGTAACAGGTAAAAACCTATCCACTAGTCACTTTCTATAAACACCTTATTCAAAACTTCTGGGACATCTCTACTTGAATATCATGTTGAAATCATGAATGATATTTATTTTCCCTAACCTCCTCACCTGCCCTTGTCCTAACTAAAGACACTTTCTCTATGGTATTTATTTCAGCCAATGTTTCTAACACCCTTCTAATCTCTACAGCCAGAAATCTTAAAACCATTTTTGAATTTTCCATTTTTTTTGAGTCCCTATATAAAGTAAATCATCAAATCTAGGTATTGTATCCTTATAAGAATCTCTTGAATTTCTTTCTCTTTCCATTATTTAGTATTATTCAAATTATGTCACTCATTAACTCATAACTTGATCACTGCAGACACCACTTGTTTTTGTCTCTTTGATGTGTTTCTATCATTCCAATCATTTCCATCTCCCACCAAATAAATATTGCCATAATCCTAGCTCTGCTGTCAGTCACACTCCATTTCCTTGCTTCTCTGTGAAGCAAAAGTCTGTAACATGTTCATCTCCAAGACTTTTTCTTTCAATCTCTTTTATACTTCCTTGAATCAGGCTTTCACCATCATGATCTCCATGTTGATTATCTGTAAGTAAATTTTCAGTACTTCTTTACCAGCAGCACTTGAGATATTTACTTTCCTCTCCTTGTTGTACTTTCTACACGTGATTTTCAGCACATCATACACAGTACTGGTTTTCCTCCTATCTCACTGATCATTCCTCTTCAGTCTACACTGCTGATTCTTCCTCATCTCCTGAATCTCTTAACACTGGACTACCCAAGGTTCAGTTCTTGCCCCCCTCTCTATATGTCCTTCTCTTAGTGGTCTAATCAAATTTCATGGTTTTAAATATCATTTATATGCTGACAATTCCCATATTTATATTTCTAACACAAATCTTTTTTTCTGGGCTTGGAACTCCTTCAATTAGGCCAAGTTGAATCCATTTTAAATCAACATGTAAGTGGCCCTGTGTTCTGTTCCCATCATCTTCCAAAGGTACCATACACATTTTTACCTGTTTTTTTAAAAATTGCTTTTTAAGATAAATTTCCTCCACCTTAAACAAGTAAGCTAGTGACAAGTAACAGCTGTTCTTACGTAATAATCTTGAGGGGGAGAAGGGGAACTATGCTAGGCTGCACTTCCTGCCTTGCTTGTATGATCGGTTGGGAGAACCGTTGACTTTGAACAAGCAACTGAAGATGGGAAACCTCTAGCAACTAAGCAATGAGTCAAGGAGCAGCTTAATATTGTAGCCATAGACAGTCTCTGTGAGGGTCTGTTGACTTAGGATTTGAGTGAGAAAATTTGGGAGGAGGATGGGCAATGAGTGTTCCTACTCTTTTCTCTATCCACTGTGCTCTACACAAGATGTTTATTTTTAATGGCTTGGTATTAAGAGTGCTCATACAAGTAGGCTTCAGAGGGCAGAGATAAAAATTTTGTCTTGACCTTAATTTTTCTAGTTGATTTAGGTATTCGACACAATTCCCAAGCATATTATGTCTATTGTGTGCCTCTTAACCATTCTAAAAGACAGTATTCAGATCACAGATGAAAATATTAGTTGAAAGGCATGATAAACACCTTAGCATTCCCACAGTTAGGATTTAGATAATTTTTTTTTTATTTATTAGCTTCTCAATATCCAACTTACACTATGTTCTGTTTTACTAGATCTCTTGAAAAATCTTCTGTAAAAAGGGAAATATAAATAAAACAAAGCACTTCCTTTGTACTCCAACATACTTGCTAGCAGAGTATTCTGCATATACTAGGTTTTCAATAAATGTTGGTAAATAAATTAATGATTTAATGAACTCTACATAAGGGAGGCAGCAAAATAAACATTAAAACATTTATTTTATGACTTCAATAAACTAAATACATAATTCATAGGGAAGCCGTATATGACAAGGAACACTGTATTTGATAGCACAGGAATCACAATTGTTAGAGAACTAAAAAAGAACAGTGACATGAAGACTTCGGTAAATAAATCTTTAAAGCCAATTAAGCTTCTGCTTTATTAAAGTAATTGAGTATATGACGAAGGGGAATAGAGATGGATAAGATTTATCAGATTCAACTGAATAAAATATAGGGTATACTGCAGTAAAGCACTGTAACAGTGTTTTTTTTTTTTTTTTTTTAAAGTATGAGACTACAGGGTTTGAAGATTAGTTACACAGGGTTTGGGAAAATAAGAAAAGTCTGATATTTATACATTATTTTAGAAAGGAATTGACATTTTATCATATTATCATATTTGGTTTTACCATCCAAGAATATGGTATGATTACTAATGAAGAGAATAGCAATTTCATTTTCATGCATTTATTCTGCAGCTATTGAATCCCTTACTGTGAGGTCACATGGGAGAATAGTCAACATTTTATTATATCTAAACATATTTACTAGCTTTCTTACCTGACTTTTTTGAAGGTGAGCTTCTTCTAAGAGTTGCATGCTATTTCTGGCTCTTACAATAGCCTCATATCGCTCTTTTTCTAATTCATTGCACTTTGCTTGTAGCTCTCTGGTCTGTTTTTCCAGATGTGTATTTTCTGTTCTTAATTGGTTGGCTTCTTGGATTGTCACACATAATCTAGAAATCAATAATTACACTGGGAAAGTTAAACTTTTTTAAAGGGAAGGAGGGAGATTTCCTGAGCATCTACTACTCAGTAGCATAATACCGGTATTATTATGCTAGTAACTTTCGCATGTATTAATATTTTCTCATTTGATACTCATTACACTTCTATAAAGTAGGTTTTACTATCTCCATATCTTCATTTTAAAGAACAACAAACATACCCAGAGAGGTCAGGCATTTGATTAAGGTCATAGGGCTAATGAGCAGTGGGGCTGAGACTGAGCCTGGATTTTCTGATCCTAATTATGTTATACTTGTTATGGTATTACACTGTATTATATAGTTACATGACAATGACACAAAGCAAACCCTTAAGAAATGAGTTGTTCTTTACATTTATATGGTCTTTTCTCTTTTCTCCCTTTTCATGCTCTCTACCCAGACAAGCTATGTGAACTTACTAATGTATATATTAAAATAATTTTCTCAATATTCATATGATTTTATATATATATATATACTCATACACATATACACATAAATATACACACATATTATACATACAGCTAACCACAGGAGCTTTTTAATTTTTGTTATAACAATAAAAATCATAATATATACCCTTTTCTGTACTTGCTTTTCTCATCTAATAATATAGAAATCTCATCAAGTTATAAAGGCTCCTTCCTTTCTTAGTCTAATGAATGTAACCTCATTTCACTGTTAATTTGTATTTCTCTGTAAGAAACTTTACGCATATTTTCTTCCTTTTGTAAGCCAAATGAATTTTGTTCTTTAAATTTCTTCTAATCTTTGCACATTTTTTTTCTGATGGGTTATTTACTTTGCTCTTCCCTTTATAAGAACCATAAATTATAAATATTAACCCTTAGTCTGTCCTTTATGCTGAAAATATTTTTTTTTTCCAAATCTACCTTTTGTTGTTCTTGCCTATTGACTCTATTTAGGGAATCTTCATCACACTAAAAATTTAACACAGCTAAATTTGACTATTTTTTTCAACTTTTGGGATTTCAGTTTTTATAAAGATGGTCTCCTTCATCCATAAATTGTCAGTGTAATCTCTTAGATTTCCTCCAAAGATTTCCATGACTTTAATTTTTACCCCTATATTTTTAATCCTGACTCATTTGAATTTACTCCTGAGTATGATGTAAGAGAAGAGTCCAACTTAAGTTCCAAACTAATGGCCGGTTGTTTGAGTACCATTAGTAACTAATGAATTTAAATACTCCTATTACCATCCTCCAAATATGCAAATATCATATATGCAAATATAATAATTTACTAGTAGATTATGTTTCATTAATCTACTTAGTTTTACATGCTCAACTCATTTTAATTTGATTACTGATTTGATTACTTTGGCTTTATAACATGTTTGGTAAGACACATTTTATAATTTTCTTTGTTATTTGTTATTTTCAGGCATTTCTTTTTTCTAAATAGTAGAAGAAGCAGGCTTCTCTATTCTCCCCTCCGCACTCCCCTCCACTACCCACTTCAAAACCCTCTTCCTGTCAGTCAAGTGGTTTACTTTCTCATGCATTTGGTAATTTTTGATTAAGTTCATATCTGTCTAAACTTAATTTGTGGGAATCCTGAGGGGTCCGTGTTCAAAAGTATTTCACCCAAAGGTTTACTATTGCTTCTTCCATGCACCAGGACTACCTACCAATCTGTTGCCACTTTAGTTTTTGGGGCTGAGGTTTCCAAATGAACAGATAGTATAATATTAAACAACAGTGTCATATGAGGGCAGAGTTATGGTTACACATTCTCAGAGAAGACTACAATGATTATTATGATTTTTATTTTTTCCATTTGGCTACATGATGGAAATAGTTTTATTGGTTGGCTATCACTGTTAAGAAGCAGAAATTTTTTTCTGTTTTAGCCTTTTAATTAGAGTGTAGCTCCTTCAAGGGTTCTAGCCTGCCCAAGGACATTTACCTTCTTGTGACATAATATAGATCCAGCCCTGACGTCCTTGGCAGGCAAGTCATTTATTTATCATTCTTGTTTTAGCTTCCTGTTTTTGTTTTTTTATTTGTATGCTTGAGAGTTCCCAACTATATAAGTTGAGCATTTAAATGTAATTAAACAGTTCATGCTATAAATTTTTTATGCTATTAGCATTCTAATATGTAAGTTAAAGAAACAACTTTGAAAACAAATCATGTTGTCATTTATCAAGATGCTTACATTAAGAGGGTTTTTTTCAGAATATTTAGTCTGACATGTTATGTGAATGGAATAGTCTGCACAATCATTATTAATCATTACTTTGTTCTCCTCCATTTCTAACCTGTGTTACTGAATTGCTGGTCCATTCAAATATCTGCCTCAAATCTTAAGAACAGACATTAATCGTATATTATGTCTGCTGTATCTGGCTTTTGTGCTTCCTTTATACTGATATTAGACTTTACCTGAGCCAAGAAAACAGGGATGGCTAAGAAATCCTCCCACCCTTGTCCTCTAAACCCCCTCTATCATTTTGTGTTTCAGAATAGAGTTAACAGCATAAAATAACCCTGCTCTCGCATATTCCAAAATAAGACCCACCTCCATCCTTCCTCATGAGTCCCATAAGACTCATGCACCCCTTGTTTATCCACCTATATAAAACCTCAGGCCCCTTCCTTTTCTTTGAAACATTCCTCATTAATGAGCATTCTCCCTACTGCAATAGCCTGTATAAAATAATCTCCTGAATTATCTGGTACATTTGGTCTTTCACAGTACTAAAGACCCACCTAACTAAATCTTGAGGAAAAACAATTGTATCTAAATTCTGTTTTTCAATCACTTTCATATTAGTCTTTTCAAGCTCTCGAACATATACATATATCCTATGGTAACTTAGCTTTTAAAATGTCTTCAGTCTAGTAAGTGAATATTTGCTGAAGAAAGGAGAAAAAAAGTGATTTGGATTCCGATTAAGTAACGAATGATGTATAAATCTGGGTGCATTCTTTAGTACATATGAGTGAAATCTCAAATATCAATTCAGGCAGATAGTGGTAGCCAACCGAGAGTCAATTATATTATTGAATAATTTTCTTTCCCTAACAATTTAAGCATATGAGTAATGGAGGTCAGAAGGTGGTGGGGGTGATTATACAAGTAAGTGATGCCTATCAATCAGACTTCATTCTAAGTTTTTACTTATTTTTTAAAAACCCTATTTTTAATAGTAGTATCCATTGGTGAATTTTCCCTACTGAGAATAATCCTTTGTATCTGTTTAAATAGGTATAAATGTTGTTTTAAGGACTTTTCTCTGTCATCTACAGAGATGATCAGATATCACCAGATACAGGCCACTTCTAGAATTCCAGAACCTAAAACACTGGCTGGTACAACAGTAGGTGCTCAACACACATTGAAAACATGATGCTTCACCTGTGAATACGAAAGTCCGTCTTAGGAGGGAGTCTTAAAGACTTTTCTTCTAACAATGTATGGAAAATCATATCTAGTCATACTGGGGTATATCTCAACTATCTCTTAGACCTTTTTCTACTACTCCTGTTCAATAGGCATAAAAATAGGGGTTTCAAGTATGCTTTGCATATATCTCCTTTATATTGCCCAAAATTACTGAAAACAAACAAACATATAAAAATTATTAAAACTTCATTTCACTTCTTTTCTTCTCAAATCTAATTATTATTGATTTCTGCAAGGATCATATTTGTTTTCCTCTACCTGTATTAGTTATTCTAAATATTAGCACACAAAAGGCATTGTTGATGTGGGAGAGGTAGTCATATATTTATTTTCACTTTTATTATAGTCATTGTGTCAAATGAAAAGATTTTATTAAACAGATAAATTATTCATTTATAGCAAAATAAAATCACCAAAGCACTTGGAAAATGTTCTCTTTTCAAGATGACTTTTAGCATCTGGTTAAAAATTACTTCTTAGCAAAGACAAATATATATTCTCCCTACCTAAAATAAAGTCCACAATCTAATATCAAGTCATATGGCTCAGCTTGTACAAAGAAAAAAAGATTTTAAAAAGAGTACTGCATGGACCATTCTGATATACCAGTGTCCTATACTCAAGGGTTTGTAACTATGATGGTATTGGCATTTGAAATGTGTGGGGACATTTGGTAGTTACAATGCTAAGAGGTGCGACTAGAATTTCGTATTTGGTGCCAGGGATGCTAAACATCCTGTAGTTATTGGCACAGTCTCAAACAACTAAGAATTGTCTCACTCAAAAAGCCAATACTCCTGTTGAAAAACATGACACCAATTGATGATGGCTATCAGGACAGAGATGAGTGATGGGTAAAGGTATCCGAAGGGCCACTGCAAATTAGAACTCCCAAGAACACAAGGGAGAACAGTACTGGGAAGCAGGATACACTAGCACCTTGCCTTCTGGAGGACCAAAAGGATTGATGATCAAGCTTCAGCTTCCAAGATTTTTCTGACATATTATGTGCAAGATGCAAAAAGAATCTACATTTAGCTCTTGAAGTTAATCCTCTTTGTAGGATTTATGGTTCATGATTCCTAAAAAATAGCTTTTAAAAATAACATTCCTCTCCTTTCTTTGCCTTCCATTTTAATGGTTTATTTCTACTGTAACTGTATTATTTTAGAAGTACAGAATTATAGAGGGGTTGAGGTAATATCAAATTTCCTCTTAACTATGATTTTAAAATTTTAACCACTCTTTAGAAGAAAGAAAGATTTTAGGTTACTGAAGGTCAACTATGTTCACACCAAAATCTGCAGGCTGACCTAAGGACAAATGAAAATAAAGGTGTACTTTGTGCTCTGCAGTACTGATACAAAAGCATGATATCAAGGGTTTTATTTGTTTCCCAAAAAGTACTGGACTAAATTTGGCACAACTATTCTCGTTCAAAGTTAAATTAATGCACTTAGTAAAGGTTTTAAAATCATATTAAACAAATTATCTTTGAATATATATTCAAAGTATAGCAATCTGTTGAATATAATTTTTAATAAATAATGTCAATTAAATCAGATTTTACACCTATGATTATAGTTTTGATTTAGAGTTTATAAAATATTTATTCTAGTAAATATCGCACTCTGACACTTTATTGTAAAATATCTTTTAAAGCATATCAACAATGCTAGGTGCATTTAACAATTTACCTTATTTCTAATTGTTTTATACAGGACTGTAACTGCTGTAAGCGCCTATCTGATGCTTCCTCTCTTCCATGGGCAGACACCACATCCTTCTCCTAGAAAATAAAGAAACCAGAAGCTTACTTTGAGTATGTGAAAATTCAATACACCATTATACAGCCTAAAGAAAACAGTTCATGCTATAAAGTTACTATGCTATTAGCATTCCAATACATACGTTAAAAGAAACAATGTGACTTTGGAAACAAATCATGTGTATAATAAAAAGGAGGGGAGAACTTCATCATCAATCCTGTATTCATAAAAAACACTCAAAAGTTATTGCATATAGATTTCTACCAATATTTCAGACTATTTCTATAATGCAAGTCTAACAAAACAAGAGAGAGATTTCTATGCAGAGAATCTGCCTTTAGAATATGCTCTCTTAACTATACTATTCTATGTCTCACTAAGTATCAAGGTAATCACAGGGTCTTTCTTCTTTGACATAGTGATGCTTTGACCTATATTAATAAATTTTATTTGTATCATCTTTCTAAAGAAATTTCTTGTTCTTCTTTTCCTGTTTCATGTGTTAACAAATATTTTTTATGATGCCATAACTTTTTGTTTTTCTTTTTGAGACAGAATCTCATTCTGTCTCCCAGGCTGGAGTGCAGTGGCGTGATCTTGGCTCACTGCAACCTCTGCTGCCCAGCTTCAAGCGATTCTCCTGGCTCAGCCTCCCGAGTAGCTGGGATTACAGGCGCCTGCTACCGCGTTTGGCAAATTTTTGTATTTTTAGTAGATACGGGGTTTCACCACATTGGCCAGGATGGCCTTGAACTCCTGATCTAGTGAGCCACCCGCCTCGGCCTTCCAAAGTGCTGGGATTACAGGCATGAGCCACTGCACTTGGCCTTTTTTTTTTTTTTTAGGGTCTTGTCATGTTACCTAGGCTGCACTCAAACTCCTTGGGTCAAGTGATCCTCCTGTCTCAGCCTCTCAAGTAGCTGGGACTATAGGTGCACACCACCATGCTCAGCCTAAGAATGCTATTTTAATTCCTCTATTGCTTTTAGCTGTATCTGTTTGAACTATTTTTTAGTAGTTGCTGTAGAGATTACAATATGCATCTTGAACTTACCCAATTTATTTAGAGTTAATATTTAGATAAAAGCTCAGAGAAAACACTGGAACCTTGCAACAGTGTATATCCATGTAGGATCCCAGTCCTGAGTGCCATTGTTGTCATATATTACATCTGCACACTTTACAAATCCATCAAATACAGTGTTATTAGTTCTGTTATAAGCAGTCATCTTTTAAAGATATGAAGAGAAAAGTATGTACACACGTTATTTCATATTTGCCATTTCTGTTGCTTTTAGTTTCTTCTTGTATCTGAGTTGCCATCTGGTGTCATTTCCTTTTAGCCTAAAGAACTTCCTTCAGAATTTTTTGAATGCAGGTCCGCTGGGGACAAACTCTCTCATTTTTGGTTTATTTGAAAATGCCTGTATTTTGCCTTCAGTTTTGAAGTATGATTTCACTGAATATAGAAATCTTAGTATTTTTTTCTTCAGCATTTCAAATATATTATTCCAATACTTTCTGTTTTCACAGGTTTTTTTTCACCCTTCCAGCCTTTATTTTTGATTCAAGGGGTACAAGGGCAGGCTTGTTACATGGGTAAATTGTGTGTCAGGGGGTTTGGTATACTGATTATTTTGCCACCCAGGTAATGAGCATAGTACCTGATAGGTAGTATTTCAATCCTCACCCTCCTCCCATCCCCTACCCTCAAGTAGGGCCAGTGTATATTGTTCCCTTTAGTGTCCATTTGTACTCAATGTTTAGCCCCCACTTGTAAGTGAGGACATACAGTATTTGGTTTTCTGTTCCTGGGTTAATTTGCTTAGGATAATGGCCTTCAGCTGCATCCATATTGCTGCAAAGGACATGATTTTGCTCTTTTTATGATTGTGTAGTATTCCATGGTGTACACGTAACACATTTTCTTTATCCAGTCTGCTATTGATGGGCATCTAGGTTGATCCCATCTCTTTGTTATAGTGAATAGTGCTGTGATGAACACACATGGGCACGTGTCTTTATGGTGGAACAATTTATATTACTTTGTTATATACCCAGTAATGGGATTGCTGGGTTTAATGGTACTTCTGTTTTGAGTTCTTTGAGAAATCTCCAAACCTTTTTCCACAGTGGCTGAACTAGTTTCCATTCCCACCAGCAGTGGATAAACATTCCCTTTTCTCAGCAACATCACCAGCATCTGTAATTTTTTGACTTTGTAATGATAGCCATTCTGACAGGTATGAGATGGTATCTCATTGTGATTTTGATTTGCATTTCTCTAATTTGTAGTATTCAGCATTTTCTCATTTGCTTGTTGGCTACGTGTATATCTTCTTTTGAAAAGTGTCTGTTTATGTCCTCTGCCTACTTTTTAATGCTTTTTTTTCTTGCAAAATTAAGTTCTTTATGCTGGATATTAGACCTTTGTCAGATGCACAGTTTGCGAATATTTTTTCCCATTCTGTAGGTTGTCTGTTTACTCTGTTGATAGTTTCCTTTGGTATGCAGAAGCTCTTTAGTTTAATTAGGTCCCACTTGTCAATTTTTGTTTTTGTTGCAATTGCTTTTGGAGTCTTTGACATAAAATCTTTGCCAGGGCCTATGTCCAGAAGTGTTTCCACAGTTTCTTGATGAGAACTCAGCCTTTAATCTTATCATTGCCTCTCTGTTCAGGTCATTTTTCTATTGCTACTTTCAGGTATTCTCTTCATAATTGGCTGTCAGTATCATTGTGATGTGTCTTAAAGTGATTCTGTGTTTACGCATTAATATTTTCCACCAAATTTAGGAAGTTTTCAGCCATTATTTCTTTATTTTTTTTCTGCTCCCATCCCCCTCCCTTTGGCAGTTCCAATTACACTTATGTTGTATTGCTTCACATTGTTCTATAGATTTCTGAGCACTTGTTCATTTTTCTTCAATCTTTTAAACTCTCTGTTCTTTGGACAGGGTAATTTCTATTGATCTGACTTCAAGTTCATTGATTATTTCTTCTGTCTTTCCCAATCTGTTTTTGAGTCCATCTAGTGAAATTTTTATTTCAGTTGTTCAACTTTAAAGCTCTAGAGTTTCTTCTTTAAAAATTATGTCCCAGTCCTCAGTTAAAATTATCTATCTCTTCCTAGAGATTTTAATTTAAAAACAGATTTTAATTTCTTGAACATATATATAATAGCTGATTTGAATCTCTGTCTGCTAAATCTAACAGATAGATCCATTTAAAGTCAGTTTCTAATGGCTGCCTCCCTCAGCACCTCCCCGACAAGTATAGGTCATACTTTTCTGTCTAGTAATTTTTTATTGAAAACCCGATAGTGTAGATAATACATTGCAGTTACTTGTTTTGTTCTTTTGAGCATTAATTTCTTTCTTTCTTTCTTTTTTTTAGTTCAAGCAGACAATTATCCTGCTTGGTCTTGAAATTTGAAATCTATTCCACATACAGTATGTATCAGCTGATACATGTAATTAGTTCTTATTGCTTTCCACTATTGCTTTTATAACTAGGCCCTGTGCCTTCATAATTTGAAGATCAGTCAAGATTTGGGCAGAGGTAGGGTTCATCCTCTTTGTGGTTCCCTTGCTTCTAGAGATTCCCTTGTAATTTTCAGCTGCCTTTCCAGCTTTGGGCTTTGTCCTCTGATACTTCAAACAATAAGGAAGGCTTCAGTATGCTGATGCTTCAGTTGCACACATTTCTCGCATGTATTCAATTATAAAAAGTAGTAAACTCAAATATCTAGTTTCATACATCTCCATCTTTCAAAAGTAGATTTCTCTTAGGTCTCTGCCTGCTTCTTCACTGGGTTCTCTGGGGTCCCTCCCCCACTTCCATATGCATAATTTAGTTGTCAGGCATGAATTGGTAAGAATTTACACTCAGAATTTGGCTCTTTTTCTGTGTGTTACTCTTGCTGCCACTATTTTTTCTTTAAATCTCCTACTGCTTTTCTAGCCCTAAACTTTGACCTGGGTACCTTAAGCCCATACAGAGGTGTTTTCTGAAGCCACAGCTGTGGGGGTTGGGAGAACTGACAGGCCAGAAATCCAAAAATTAACAATTCTTATTTCTTTTACTTTTTTCTGTTTTGGGTGCTTTCTGGTGTTTTAAAAATGTATCCAAGTTTTAAAATTGTTACTTATGGAAGGGTTCTTGTAACACTTAAAAAAAATCTACCATTATTAGAAATCCATAATCAACTTTTTACAGATTGGGAATAAAGCTTAGAAAGTTACATAGCTAATAAGCCCCAGAGTGAGAATTTTCAATAATTATATCTATCTAAAAATAAAGCCTGACTTTTCCTTGACATCCTTCTGAAATTTCTCTATTACATATTTAAAAGAACCAGAGTCTATTATGCCAATAAATATTTTAGTAAATAACATAATAGTATTAAATGCTTGTTTTCCAACTGCAAATAACCAGTTAACTGAAACCTGATCTTGTATTAATCTGCATTTCAGTAACGATGTGATTAAGTGGGATTATGATGTTTTATTGAATTAGGCTACAGAGAATGGAAATAAAAAATTATTTATAAAGTTGTTTTCAATAATATAGTTTAGCTTCCTACTTTCATATTTTATATTTAAGGGTAAAAAAATAATTAATTCATCTTCTGACAACCCTCTTTAACACCTAATTCAAAATAAATCAACAAAATAGAAAGAAAACTAAGCAACAGGTATCCATTTGTCTTAGAAATAGAAAATACCTTCTTTTTCATCTGTCCCTGCAGATCTTCAGTCGCGTTAGTTAACTCTTCCACTTTTGCTACAGCAACTCTCAGCTCTAATTTGGCTTGCCTAAAAAATAAAGTAAATTAATAAACACTGTTTTCATAGACCGCTAAGAATAAAAAATTAGAATAGAAATCTAAATTTGGTAAAATTAGTTCTAATTCTTGTGTACCGAAAATGCATCCATGGAATAAATTTTGGAAGATTCCTTTATTACTAATGAAAGCATGTAGAAGACACTAAAGAAGAAAAAATATAGTTGAATGGTGAAGGGTATGAAGTAGAGGTCATGAATGCTTTATTTGGGTAAGTTATATTACATATCAAAGTAATTCAATAAATTTCTTGAAAAAGCACTTTATCATCTTGATACATTACCTAACAAGAGCTCCAGTGCACTAAGAAGGATATACTTAGGTCTATAATATCCTTATAGAGATGGAGATTGGACTTTCTATGAAAATGAACTTAAACTTCAATACCTTGATCATTCCATAGACACCAGAAGTTTGTATTATGTAAACACTTAACATAAATTAAAATATTTGTCCCACCATAATACAATGTTTATTTTCTTCAGAGACTGTATTGGCAACGAATGAAAAAGACAAGTTTTTGTGAACATTCTAACAGAATCAAGTAAGTTTCAATATCTTCTTGGCTCCTCATAGGAAATGATTTTAGAACAATAAGATAAGACTTTTTAGACAGAAAAAATGATTTTTAATATCATCGTAATTTACCATTGAGTATAAAACACTTTGATTATCTAAAGAACATATTTTTTAAGAAGAAAAATATTTTAGTGTAGGAACTGCTCCCTATTTCTTAATTACATTTTATGTATGTATCTAAATGTAAATCGTATTTGTGCTATAAAACTTACAGAAATTATTTGATGCAAAATTCACAAGTAAATGTTAATTCATTTCCTTTTGACTCTGTCTTTAAAACTGCATTACTTATATAGTGATAAATTTCCTGCAATAGAAAATACAAATCTAATAATAACTGAAAACATCTCAGGTAGTTATTAGGGCCAGGGACTGTTGTAAATGCTTTGCAGTCATCTCACTTGACACTCATAATAACCGTGAATTAAGACTACTACTATGTCAAACTGAAGTAGAGGAGAGCAAGGTTGATAGAGGTTTACCAATATGCCCTAGGATTCACAATAAGTAATAAAACTACTATTTAAAGAGTCCCCTATGACAGACTGTCTACCCTCAAATGGTCCCAATAATATTTTATATGATGAGGCATTTAAGAAAATGTTTTGCTTTAAATTAACCAAGATTATAAAAAAAAATCAAACAGGCCGGGCACGGTGGCTCATGCCTGTAATCCCAACACTTTGGGAGGCTGAGGTGGGAGGATCACGAGGTCAAGAGATTGAGACCATCCTGGCCAACATGGTGAAGCCCTGTCTCTACTAAAAATACAAAAATTAGCTGGGTGGGCTGGCGCGCATGCCTGTAGTCCCAGCTACTTGGGAGGCTGAAGCAGGAGAATCACTTGAACCTGGGAGGTGGAGGTTGCAGTGAGCCGAGATCGCGCCACTGCACTCCAGCCTGGTGACAGAGCAAGACTCCGTCTCAAAGAAAAAACAAACAAACAAACAAAAATATATTTTCTTCATTTGCAAAATGATTTGCCAAAGGAGAAAACAAAAACCACCTTATTTGTGGAAAATCTACGTCAGGCTGAGAGATAATTTTAGGAGTATATCTACAATCTAAATCAACAAATGATTCTACCAGTTATAAAATCCTATATACTTTTAAAGGAAAAACTTAAGGAATAATATATTTAAGTAGTAAGGATAAAACTGAGAAAACTCTGAATAAGCATAGCAACCACGCTGATTTGGTTTTCTTACCTTCAGAAAGGATAAAATATTGCTTGTTCTACTTGTTTCATGGGATTGCTGAACAAGTAAAAATAGATAATGTATATTAGAGTATCCTGTAAGCTGTAAGCAAGATAAGGTCATAGTATGATCAAGGAAAAAAAAAAAAGAAAGAAAAAAAAAACCTGTTGGAGACACAGGAAGCAAGGTACAATGTGGAGAACACTAGAAGCAGGGACCCAGTTCCGTCACTAACTAGTAATATGCCTTACCACAATTCACTTGACCATGCTGCACATCTCAAAGACTTCATGTCCAACAACAGAGGTGGATTAGGCAATTTGCCAAGACCAAAATTCTATAATTAGATTCTTCCCTTATTTTAATCTAATTGGCCTGAGTCTATTTCTAAATTGTCTTTCAATTGTGTATTCCTTTTTCATTCTATGGCCCAAACTTTAGCTTCATTATCACTCATAATACTATTCCAATAGATTCCAAACTCATCTCTTCACTGATGGTCTCCTCTTTCGTTCATTCTTTATAATATATCTTATCTGTTAAAAAAGTTATCTAGTACTAAAAACTCCTATTTAACAATGATTCCTGGATTCCACACTTTTTGGCATAAAGTCTACACTCCCCTACATGGCATATAAGGCCAGTGAACATCTAACATCAAAGAGTCTCATCTCTTGCCAATTACCCCCATGTAATTTATATTCCAAGTATAATAAAACACTCACTCAGTGTTTCTTAAACACATCTTTGTTTCTTTTTTCACATGTTTGGTTGGACTAGTCTTCTCCTTCATTTTCTAACCAATTCCTTAAGTTTGACCTAGTTCAAAAGTCTCCCTATCTTCAAGTCTTCACTAATTTCCCCTTGGTGAAAACCCTATATCTCAATACTTATAATATATAATACTTTATACGCTATTGATTGACTACACTGTATTGTAATCAATACTATAGAGATTCTCCTTTATGGAACTGTGAGTTCATAAAAAATATACAATGTAAGATAATTAAAAGCAAGGATCACATCTTATTAATTTTTAAACCCTCAGGAGATAGCACAGTACCTAGGGCACAGGAGACAAGTAAATCTATCATAAATGAATGAGAGGGCAAAAAGAAAAGGTGAGAAGAGGGAGGGGGAAAGGGAGAGGAGTGGGAGGGAGAAGGAGAGGGAGAGGGAGGGAGAGATGGAGAGAGAAAGAGAGGGAGAGAAAGACAGAGAAAGAGAATGTTACAAGTACAACTATATATTGATATTTTACCTAGATCTTGCACGCCCAATTTAATATTCATGTGTGAAAAATTCTAGAAAAATAATTTATGAACAATTATTCCAAATATATATTATCTCATATTCCTTTGAGATGAAATCTCCTGCTACATAGGTAAAAAGAAAAAAAAATAGGCACTGGACTTAGACCTAATTTGGAAGTCATTATAAAAAAAATTCTGAAAACATTCATATTATATTATATTCATTAAAACAGAAATACTATTTTTTTGGGGGCAAATAAGTAGTAGTTTTCCACATTGTTCCATAGAACAGTTAGAAAGTAAGTAAATAGTTCTTTTTATCTACTTTTGGCATGACAGGTTGAAAAAAATTCTAAAATAAAAGGCAGAAAGCCTGTCTTCTAGAACTGACTCTACAAACACAAAAGGTATGTGAACTGAGCCAATCACTTAACTTCTCTGAGTCTTAGTATCTATAAAATGGAGATAAAAACAGTTTTCCCATATAGTTCACAGAATTATAAAGATTAAATAAGTTAATGCATATTAAAACATTTTATAAATTTTACTGTAGTTTATACAATGCAGCTACCATCATCATTTTGTCTTTTTATTAGATTAAATAGTCAGGAACTGTGTAGTAAAGTATTAATTTACAGTTGGACTGGGAAAGCTCTGGGGATGCCTGAATGTCTAGCCTTGACTCTTAGCCAGTATATGAACAGCGGGATTTATGATGTGCTGTTTAAAGTATGAATCTCTTCCTGCAGCCTGCAAGTTGATTTGTTTACTGATGATTTTCACTGGGCATAACTAGATAGCCAGGCTAGGCTATGTGGTCAGTGTGGCAAAAAAAAAAAAAAAAAAAAAAAATGACCCTGATGGGAACTCCTGCCTGGAGCGCTCCTGAAGCCAAGATTCATTGCACAGATTCTTGGTGGCTCAAGGTGGAGACAAAGCATGTCTGTGTATAAATAAAGGCCCTAGGGTGCCTATGCTTGAAGGTGTCCTGGATGCTATATGCTTGCCTATGTTCTTTTTCTGGCTGCACAATATCCTTTGGCCTTTAAATAAAAGCCTTCTGTAAGTATGCCCTGTGCGGTCTTGTGAGTTCTTTCAAATATTCACGCTTTTAAAATTTTTGAAGGAACTAAAAAAATAATTCTAATATTATTTTATGAAGAAACTCAATAATTACGTTTATACTGTTTACATGCAAATGTTTTAGATACATGTCTCCCTGTGTATGTAATTTTATAAAAGTTAAAAACAGTTTAACAAAAAAATTTTGATTTAAAAAAAACACAACTAGTTAACTATTAACAATCCTGATGTCATAACTACCCAAGGATTTTACTTTTGCTTCAAATAAATATTCTAAAAAGCACATTACTTTATTTTCAGGTATGTTTGTTAATCCATTTTATATTCCTGGGATTTTTCATTAATGTATTTTTTCATTGCTTATGATATTAAACACATTTGAATGACAACTTATTTATTATCATCATTTTTTGAGACAGAGTCTGGCTCTGTCGCCCAGGCTGGAGTGCAGTGGCACGATCTCGGTTCACTGCAAGCTCCGCCTCCAGGATTCATGCCATTCTCCTGCCTCAGCCTCCTGAGTAGCTGGGACTACAGGCGCCCACCACCACACCTGGCTAAGTTTTTGTATTCTTCAGTAGAGGCAGGGTTTCACCATGTTAGCCAGGATGGTCTCGATCTGCTGACCTTGTGATCCGCCTGCCTCAGCCTCCCAGAGTGCTGGGATTACAGGCGTGAGCCACCGCACCTGGCCGACAACTTTTAAAAAAATAAACTTCGTTAAGCAAAATGTAATCAAGTATAACATAAAGGATAGCATATAATACTAGATTTAAATTATACCATCAATTTGGACAGAAATTAAAATGCTTTAATTATCAATACACTTTTTTGAGACTTAACATCAAGTACAATGA